AACTCTATACACAAGCACTGAGATACCACAATAGTTCATATGATAATCAAGGTGGCTACCCAGAATGACATGTAATTTAAAACTTAGGAGTTGTTTAGAAATTCTAGAATTTTTCACCTAATATTTTTGGACCATAGTTAACTATAGGTAACTGAAACACAAAAAGCAAACCAACCACAGATAAGAGGGGCTACTGCACAATAATTGAAATTTAGAAAATCACTACAAGGATTCAAAGATTTGAACAGACAAAAGAATCAGCAACCTTGAAGACAGGATAATGAAAATTATCAAGTTTGAGGACCAGAAAAGAAAAAAATGACTGAAGAAAAATGAACAAAATCTAAGGGGTCTGTAGGAAATTTTCAAGTAGGACAATATGTGCATCATAAGATTCTTAGGAGGAGGGAAGGGGTGGACATTTGGCCCAACAGTTAAAAAGCCACTTGGGAACTTGCATTCCACATCAGAGTGCCTGGGTGTAAGTTCTGGCTCCACTTCTGACCCAAGATTCCTACTAATGAAAACCTTGGGAGGCAGCAGATGATGGCTTCAGTAGTTGGGCCCCTGCCACTCACATGGGAGACTCTGATTAGGTTCCTGGCCTCTAGCTTTGACCTGGCATGAACCAACAGATGGGAGATATCTCTGTATCAGCCTATCCATCTCCCTACCCAGCTGCCCAATTTCTCTGCCTTTCAATTCACTAGTTAATTTTTAGAGTGAGTGAGAAATTATGCTATTTCCAGATCAACAAATTTGAGGGCATTTGTTACCACTAGGCCTGCTGCTATGATATGGATATGATTTGTCTCCTCTGAAGTTTTGTGTTAAAGTTAATCCCCATTGTGAGGGATTAAGAAGGTGAAAACTTAATCTGACCATGGTGTTTAGAGATGAAGCCTTTGGGAGATGAGTAGGATCAGATAAGCTCATCAGAGTGGAGCCTCATTATTGAACACTGGTAGTTTTATAAGAGGCACAGAGAGACCAGCATACACACGTGTGTTCTGTTTCTTTCAGTGCATGACATCCTGAGCCACCTTGTGACTCTGCCAGCAAGCAGGCCATCACCGGAGCAACAGCAAGGACAGACAGACGACGCTACGTAACAATTGGAGACATCAATACCTTCTTCTCAATAACGAGCAGAACCACCAGACAGTAGATAAGTAAGGAAATAGAGAACTTAACACAATACACCAACTGAATGTAACAGACAACAGCGTACACATTCCTCTCAAGTGCACATGAGACATTCTCCAAGACAGACTATATGTGAGGCCTCAAATTTACAAAATATCTTCTCTGACCTCCATGGGATAAAATTAGAAATCCATAGCAAAGGTAAAAAAGTCACATAATCTGTGTATTAACATACTCTTAAACTTCTAATGCATCAAAGAAGTCAGAAATAAACCCTCACAATACAGTCAAATGACTTTTTAAAAAGGCTCAAAGACCATGCAATTGGGGAAATAACAGTCCCTTCAGCAAGTAGTGTTGGGGAAGCTGCACATCCACACGCAAAAGAATGAAGCTGGACCCTTCCCTTACCCCACTCACCCACCCACACACACACTCACTTACATACACACAAGCCAAAACGGATCAAAGACCTAATCATAAAAGCTAAAATCACTAAAGTCTTAAAACAGGGGAGAATCTTCATGACATTGAATTTGACAATAATTTCTTATATATGACACCAAAAACAAAGGCAACAAAAAAGAAAACAGATAAACTGAATTTTATCTAAATTTAAAAAACTGTTGTGCCTAAGTGACTATGAAAAGAATGAAAAGACAGCCAGCAGAATGAGAAAAAAAAATTGTAAATTGTATACCTGAAAAGATTTCAATTCCAGGATAAAGAACTCCTACAATTAACAATAAAACAAATAACCTAATTTAAAAATGGGGCAAGATTTAAATAGACATTTCTGAAAAGAATACATGTGGGGGCCTGTTTTGGAACATAGTGGGTAAAGATGCTGCCTGAGACAACAGCATCCCATATGGGCGCCGGTTCAAGATCCAGCTGCTCCACTTCTGATCCAGCTCTCTGATAGGGCCTGGGAAAGCAGTAGAAGATGGCCCAAGTCCTTGGGTTCCTGCACCTGTGTGGGAGACCTGGAAGAAGCTCCTGGCTCCTGGCTTCAGATTGGTGCAGCTCCAGCAGTTGAGGCCAACTGGGGAGTGAACCATTAGAAGGAAGACCTCTCTCTCTGCCTCTCCTCTCTCTATGTAACTCTGACTTTCAAATAAATAAATAAATCTTTTTTAAAAATAGAATTACCTCCTTAAAAAAATATAATTCACAGGCCTGATAAGTTGTGAGTGGCATTATAAGACATTAGAAAATGAATGGCCTTTTCTTCAAATGACACTAGAATAACTAGCTAGAAATATAGAATATATATAATACGTATAAATGTTAAATATACATTTATGAATATATATATATATGCACAGACCTTCTACTACTCAAAAAAATACATTCTGACAGGCTAAAAGTCTAATAAAAAGTAAAACATTAGGGGCTGGCACTGTGGCAAAGAGGGTAAAGCCGCCGCCTGCAGTGCTGGCATCCCACATGTGTTCGAGTCCCGGCTGCTCCACCTCCAGTCCAGCTCTCTGCTGTGGCCTGGGAAAGCAGAGGAAGATGGTCCAAGTCCTTGGGCCCCTGTGCCCATGTGGGAGCCCCAAAAGAAGCTCCTGGCTCCTGGCTTCAGATTGGTGCAGCTCCAGCCATTGCGGCTACCTGGGAAGTGAACCAGCAGATAGAAGACCTCTCTCTCTCTCTCTCTCTCTCTCTAACTCTGCCTTTCAAGTAAATATAAAAAATATTAAATATTTAAAAGAAAAATATTACTGAAATCTTTATATAAGAATCTGAGAAAGATCCCTTCAAAAAGTTTCAGATTCATAAACCACAAAGGGAAATACTATTTTGGCTTCTTTACAACAAAGAAACTCCCATACATCAAAATAGTAAAACAAATTTTAAAAGCAAACCACATACTTCTAATATGATTTTAATATATCTAATTGACAAAAGTTTTCTTTCTAGACTATTTATAAAAAATTCATACAAATCACTATAAAATTGAAACAGGAGCAAAAGACATAAACAGGCAAAGAACTTAGAAAAGGAAAAAAATCCAAGTAAGTGGTCCGTAATCATATGAAAATATGCTCACACTCAGTAAAGGTCAAGCTAAAAGTTAAAGGGCCATGAGGAAGTCAAAGGTTGACAAGGGCATGGGGAAGTAGAAACAGAAATAGTACAGGTGGGGTATAACTTGGTACAATCACTTTAGAGAGATCAAATTTGAGTTGCAAATGCCCTACAATTCAGTACTTCCATATTAAGCAATAGGTTGAAACAACTCATGCATGTATGCAAGAAGAAATGAACAAAGATGTGACCTCATCGCTGTTCCTATGAGCAAAGAAATGGGAAACCTAAATACTCATCAATAGAGGATACTTAAAATCTGCATTCATATGATGAAATATGACATTAAAATGTGACTATAAATAAGCAATTGATAGATGTCGAAAACCTAAGAGTGGAGTGAAAAAGATAAATATAATATATGCACACTCTTAAATTATGTAAACTCATAAAATAACTATACTATTATATGTTGCATATGGGAAATATAATATGTTGCATATACATAAATATAAGTTTAAACCTAAAAAAATCCTTATACACACACATTGTTAATAATAGTTTGTGGGGTTGAGGGAAGAAGGAATGAACCTCAGATGATGGTTAAAAGCAATTTTTGCTTTGCCTCATCTTCAAAGATTTCTTTTTTTCTTAAATGATTTGTTTATTTTATTTGAAAGACAGAGTTACAGAGAGAGAAAGAAAGGAAAAGATAGAGAGAGAGGTCTTCCATCTGCTAGTTCACTCCCCAGATGGCTGCAACAGCCTGAGCTGGGCTGGTCCAAAGACAAGAGCCAGGAGAGTTTTCTGGGTCTCCTGTGTGGGTGCAGGGGCCCAAGCACTAGGGCCATCTTCCACTTTCCCAGGAGCATTAGCAGGGAGCTGGACTGGAAGTGGAGCAGCCAGGACTTGAACTGGCACCCATATGGGGGATGCAGGCACCCATATGGGATGTTGGCCCCAAGAATTTATTTCTTTAAAATAAAAAAGAAGAAAAAGAAAAAAACCATAGAGGAGCAGGCCACTGTCTGGTGTATCAGTTAAGCTGTGGTTGGGACACTGGTATGCCACACAGGAGTGCCTGGATTGCAGTCCCAGCTTTGCTTCTAATTCTAGTTTCGTACTAATGCACACCCTGGGAGATAGCAGTGATGCCTCAAGTACTTGGGCCCCTGCCCAGAGTCTTAGGTGGAGTTTTTAGCTCCTGGCTTCCACCTGTCCAGACCTGCCTGTTGCAGGCATTTGGGGTATAAGGAATGATGGAAGATCTCTCTGTTTCTCTGCCTCTCAAATAAATAAAAATAAAAATTAGAAAGAAATGATTAAAAAAAAAAGCATAAAGAAATCCTGAGAAGAATATAACAAAATAGTAAAGGTTGTTTATTCTGAATGGTGAAAATTTGAGTAGTTTTGAGTTTTGTGCCCGCACTCACCTTTCTATTCACACACAGGTCACATAGACTGCACCAACACCCAACAAACAATTGCTGTCCCAACTACTGGAATGTTTTAAGCTGTACCTAATTACACTTGAACATATCATCTCGGTTTATTATTTCCCTGGCTGTGCCCAAGACAGCACACTGATTTCACTATCTCAGTGCCAGTCGCAGAGGATTTTCAGGGCCAGAACCTGGAATGAGAGACTTGCAGGCTGCCTGAGTGAGCCTGGGACATCTGAGAATGTGCCAAGTTCAGTTACAGTGACTGTTGCAGGGCAGTACCTGCTTAAAGGCACAGGAACCTGAAAGCCAGTCACTCACCAGTCAGGCTGGGGACACCACTTGTAATTACAAAACTGATCTTTTAGTGTTAATAACCTGAGCGTTGTCGCACAACACGGATGGTCCTGGTCCCAGACTGTGGCGCCTTATCTTCACCTGGTAGGAGAGGGAAGCCTTCCAGCTTGCCTCTGAAGATTCTGACAGTTGAGGGTTCAGCAGTTCCCCTCCACCCCGTGTTCCTGGGACCAGGCTGCCAGACCCGCTGTCCTGCCACACTCACAGGCTGCACTCTCACTCCCTCTGAAGTACCCCATCCTTTTAACTCAGCAAAGAAGGATACAGGAGACCTTCCACACTCAGGGGATAATCCACTTTGTTTTCAAGTAGTGAAAAATAAGTCTTGTCCCCTACCAAGGAGCAAGCCCATCATCAGAAAGCATTTCAGCTGCTGCATAAGTTCATGAGCGTGCATGAGTCATTCCGTATGTATACACACTTTAGAACATCGTGTTGTACACCGCGAATGTGGAGAAAGCTTTGCTGCTCAGGGGCCAGCACTGTGGCACACTGGTTCAAGTCCCAGCTGCTCCACTTCCAACCCAGCTCCCTGGAATGCACATGGAAAGCAGTGGAAGATGGTACTTAAGTTCCTGCCACCCACATAGGAGACCAAGATGGAGTTCCTGCCTCTTGGCTTCAGCCTGGCCCAGATCTGGTTGTTGTGACCATTTGGAAAGTAAACCAGCAGATGGAAGTCTCTCTGTGTGTGTGCATGTGTGTGTGTGTATCTCCCTCTCTTGTAACTCTGCCTTTCAAAAAAACAAATAAAAAACAAAAAAAAAGTAGAGGCAGAGGGAGGAGAAGAGAGAGAGATACTACTCGGCTTAAAACAACATAAATTCAATGTAAGTTTGGTCATTGACAATTATTAGCAATACTTGTGCAGTCTAAGCCATTGGTTCTCAAGCTTTATGGCCTCAGGAACACTTCATATTGTTATAAACCATTGAAGAACACAAAGAGCATTTCTTATGTTGCTTATATCTTTTGATATGTACCACAGTCAAAATTATAACTGAAGGGAAATGTTTAAATGCTTATTCATTAATCTATTTTAAAACAATCTAGACACTACATGTTAATATAAATAATGTTTTTATCAATGTAATATTTTAAAAAATAAAAAATAATTGAGTGAGAACAATGACATCATTTTACATTTTCACACATCTTTTTTATTTTTATTTTTATTTTTTGACAGGCAGAGTGGATAGTGAGAGAGAGAGACAAAGGTCTTCCTTTGCCGTTGGTTCACCCTCCAATGGCTGCTGCAGCCGGCCCACAGCGCTGATCGAAGCCAGGAGCCAGGTGCTTTTCCTGATCTCCCATGCAGGTGCAGGGCCCAAGCACCTGGGCCATCCTCCACCGCACTCCCTGGCCACAGCAGAGAGCTGGCCTGGAAGAGGGGCAACCAGGACAGAATCCGGTGCCCCAGCCGGGACTAGAACCCGGTGTGCCGGCGCCGCAAGGCGGAGGATTAGCCTGGTGAGCCGCGGCGCCGGCCTATTTTCACACATTTTACTGTCTGGCTTAATAGAAGAAAACTGGAAATAAATTAAGAAAATCTAGCCACATAAAGATACACAGCTGGAGGAGTATTTTAATAGTCTTTGTATAATTATGGTGAGTTTGTTTCTTAAAGGTTAGTTGTGATGGGCCGGCGCCGCGGCTCACTAGGCTAATCCTCCGCCTTGCGGCGCCAGCACACCAGGTTCTAGTCCCGGTCGGGGCGCCAGATTCTGTCCCTGTTGCCCCTCTTCCAGGCCAGCTCTCTGCTGTGGCCCAGGAGTGCAGTGGAGGATGGCCCAAGTCCTTGTGCCCTGCACCCCATGGGAGACCAGGATAAGCACCTGGCTCCTGCCATCGGAACAGCGCGGTGCGCCGGCCGCGGCGCGCCGGCCGTGGCGGCCATTGGAGGGTGAACCAACGGCAAAAGGAAGACCTTTGTCTCTCTCTCACTGTCCACTCTGCCTGTCAAAAAAAAGGTTAGTTGTGATGTGGGATAGGAAACCTTATCGGCAACCTTGCATACTGTTATCTGAAAATCTGTTGGCCTATTTTGCATTTTGCGTGAATCTGTCACCCACTATGATTTTGTAACTTAAGTCACATTAAATTGGAAAATATCGGATCACCAATCTTCTCAATTATGCTTGTTAATATTGTAATGTTCTCATAAAAAGTCTTCAATTAGTGGAAAGCTGTCCAGCTCATGGATGTGGATACATGTTTTCCAAAATTTCTATTTTCACTTGAAAACTCAAATTTTAACATTATAAACAATACTGTGTGTTGTTTTCCTTAAAATGGTAATGCTCACTTTATTCAATTTTGAAAATATGTCTGCCAAATATCAAGGTTGACAAAACCTAGTTTGACAATCTTGTTTTTCCTCAAACAAAACAAGTATTTTTTAGAAATATGGTTAGTTCAGCTGAGAACTCCAATATAAAGACAGCTATGTTACTTGAAGCAACCAAAAGCACTTTATGCATCGCTCCCATTTTATCTCACAGAATAGTAACAAAGGCATGCATGCAAGGTTCCAGACCTTAAAAAGTTAACAAATTTTACCACTTCATCATGTACTCGTTTAAGTGATACTTTTTCTGAAAGTGCATGACATGAAAAATACAATAGGGGCCAGCGCTGTGGCATAATAGGTAAAGCCCACTGGCATCCCATATGAGCAACAGTTCAAGTCCTGGGTGCTCCACTTCTGATTCAGCTCCCTGCTAATGCACATGGGAAAGCAGCAGAAGACAGCCCAGGTGCTTGTGCCCCTGAGCCCACATGGCAGATCCAGAAGAAGCTCCTGGCTCCTGGCTTTGGACTGGCCCAGTTCTGGCTGTTGTGGCCATTTGGGGACTGAATCAGCAGACTGACTGAAGATCTCTCTCTCTCTTTCTCTCTCTCTCCCTCTCTCTGTAACTCTTTCAAATAAATGAATAAATCTAAATATATAAAATAACTAATAGTACAGTTTGGTACCACTGCCTGAATTTGTGCTAAGGCACCAACTTTGCCTGTTATTTCTTTTAGACCAAATGCTAACTTATTGAAAAATTTAAATAACATCTTTTCAAAAAATATTTATTTATTTGAAAGTCAGAGTTACACAGAGAAAGAAGGAGCAGCAGAGAGAGAGAGAGAGAGAGGGAGAGAGAGAGAATCTTTCATCCACGGATTCACTCCCCATTTATCCTCAACAGCCGCAGCTGCACCAATCTGAAGCCAGGAACCAGGAGCTTCTTTCAGGTCTCCCACACAGGTGCAGGGACCCAAGTATGTGGGCCATCTTCTACTGCTTTCCCAGGCCACAGCAGAGAGCTGGATTGGAAGAGGAACAGTCAGGACACCCATATGGGATGCTGGCATTGCAGGCAGCAGCTTTACCCACTAAACCACAGCGCCAGCCCAGGTAAATAACATCTTAGTGATATCATAATAATACTCTCTGTAAACACCCATGGTTTGTCTCAAGAAATGAAATGTACCTATTAAATAATTTCTAAAAAGCCATTTGCAAGTGCCCTTGCAAGCACCCTGATCTCTAATTACCATGTTTTGCTCAGACACCCACCCTCTTGAGGCACTGAAGTGTTATGAGATTTTTCCAAGGAGGAAACTGTATATCACATAAATGTGCTTTTCCTCCCTAAAACAAATAGAAAACCTAACAGTCAAAAGGCAACAAGCAGAGCAACTATTGGGGATGAGCACGTTCCTTTCCATTAGTGCTCATGCAGCCACCAGCGCTGTTGGCCTTGCTACTAATTCTGTGCAAAATGTGTCCCAAATGTTTAGGTGGGATTCCCGTGGGCTAGGGATGAGTGCAACTTTCAGCCACTTACCTTAAAGAGGATGCCGTCTTGAGAGCCCCCCAGTGAGTCATGTCAATCACAAGCATTTTCTACTCTTGCTCCATTTTGGGGGTGGGGTGCTTCAGCATTACCCTGTACCCCACTAGAGGACTGGAAAAGGAAAGACAGGAGCAGACAGCAAAGGTAGCTGGAAACTTTCATTCAATCAACACACCTTGATCAAGTACCTCTCACATGTTGGTCATTGTTTTCAACAGAGTCATAGAGTAATACCTATGACAACTTACATGGAGCTTTCCATCCGCGTTGAAAGCTTCCCAGGCCTGTCTAGGAGTCACACGGTTGAGAAGCCCAAGGCATTCACTAGCAGATGGCCAGGCATTGCTTCTCATCTCCTATCCCAACTATGCTAATTATCCATTAGCATCAGTTACACAAAATCATCAAGTAATGGGTGCTGATCTAATTCTACATCACGGCCCACAAAAGTACCAAAAATTCTGAAATAAATACATTAAAAAGCATCCAACATTTCTCTAAAGAATGTATCATAATTTTTCAGGAAAAATATCCATGGATGTACTCATCAAGCTGTTCAGGTGGTATTTTCTAAAATGCAAAAAAAAATAAAATAGACTACTAGAATAAATAAAATAAAAGAGACTACTAGAAACAGTCAAAATCACTGCTTATATAGGGGGGCTAACACTGAGGTTTTCTAAGGCCTGACAAGATTACCTGATACCCATAAAACTATAGGTACATATGGAGAAAGGGTGAAGTACTCAGCCATTTAGAGTAAGTTCCCTACAGCCATTTGCCAGTAAATATCTCAGCACGTGTTCTCTAAGACATCTGTTCAACTCATGTTCTCTAACCCAAGCACAATACCATTCATCAAGAAACTGAGTACTGGGTAAAATATTCCTTAATGTGCAATCCATAATCACATGTCCAAATTGTCTCCATTTCATCTTTATTGAGGTGCTATGAATTGACGTGTCAAATAGAAATTGTATATATTCACAGAGTACATTTGCTGTACATGTGTGTAGGGGGGCACATACTGCAAAATAATCACCTAGGTGAAGCTAATTAGCATCCCCATCACCTCATTCAGCTTACCATCTTAGTTCATTCAGGATAATGTAACAAGAATACCTGAAACCGGTAGCACAAAAGCAACAGAGGTTTGCTCCTGACAGCTCTGGAAGCTACCACTCCTTCCGGATGCTGGCAGACATGCACAGAGCTGACGCCTTCTCACTGAGTCCTCACACGGTGGAGGGGGACAAGG